CCTTACCTGTGCGGGGGGCTTCCTAGGCATCGCACACCGCATCTCCCCCAGGTTCGCCCTCAGCAGCAGCTCCTGCGGGAGCAGCAAGCAGCTCAGCCCCTCCGGCCGCCAGCCTGTCCATGGGCCTCGGGGACCAAGGTGCAGACCAGCCCCCTCCTGCTGCTCCTCCCACCTCCCTTGCACACCTCACTCTACTCCCCCAGGGTCTCTAGGAAGCCAGGGACCTGGAGGGGTCGCTCACCTCTGCCTTCCGGCGATTACACCTTTTGGTTATCTCCAGCACCTGCTGCTCCTTGGGTGACCGGTAGGTGCTCCTGGGGACCTGGCGGGTGGCGGAAGGAAGGGCCCATGGTGGGCGGCTGCATTTGGAGGGTAGAAGAGTGGGGCTGGTGGCTGGCCCAGGTGCATGGAGCTGGAGTGGGACCTGCTGAGCTACGACTGGGACTTGCAGGGTGTCGGCGGTCACCCGGGGGATGGAAGGACAGGCCAACAGCAGGAAGGAAGGTGGCCAAACACAGGGCCCAGGTGTCTGGATGCTCGGATGCCGGAGGGACAGGCAGAGGACTGCTGACTGGGCAGGGGATGGACAAGAAGCGGCTGGAGGGGCAGATGAGGTCAGGAGAGGGTTGTGGACCCCAGAAAAGTGAGCTGCCAGTGAAGGGAGGGGCTGCAGCATTGACACAGTGGAGGACGGGCAGCCTGACACTATCCACAGGCCCTCTGTGACCTGGAACAACCAGTGTCCATGGCAGGGCAGGACAGAGCCAGCCTGGAAAGCCCTGAACTCCAGACTCCTAACTCGGTGCCCTCTCCCCTGCACGGCGAACAGGCAGGGGAGACTCATCATGTCCAAACCTGAAACCTCCCCTCCCTCAGCCTTGCTGACCCTGACTGCTGTCCATGCCCGGCCCAGGTCAAGGCCTCAGGGTCGTCCTCAGCATCTCTCTGTCTCTCACACCCACATCCACCTCAGAAGCTGTCTACCTGCTTCAAGGTATCTCCCCAAACTGCCTTTCACCTCCCTCCTCTGCCACTGCAGCCAGACGGATCCTGTGAGCCTACCTCGGGGTGTGTCCTGTCTCTCTGTCCCCTCAGTAGCTCCTCTCCCAGCCCCTCCTTCCTCTCCTCCTCCCACCCCAGCCCCTGGAGCACTTGAGGGAGAGAGGCACTGCCCCAGGACCTTTGAATATGCCTTGCTGTGTCTGGCATGCTCTTCCCCCAGACAAACCCATGGCTCACTGGCTCACGTTTTCCAGTTTCTTGGGAGGTCTTTCCTGGCTGCACTCCCCAGAACCCCAACTCCTCCAAGGAGTCTTATCCCTTTTCCCTGAATCATTTTCTCTCCTCAGAATTAGTCATCAGCTAACACACCATACATTTTACTTGTCCTGGCTTTTGTCTGAACCCCTCACTGGAGTGCATGTTCCATGAAAGCATAGTGCCTGGCACATACTAGGCATTCCACAAATAGGCACCGGAGGGGGTCCTAAGCCCATGAGGGAAAGAGGGTATTGGGCGTGGAGCTGGGATGGAGGGAACCAGCCTGTGGTTCCAGCACAGCTACCTGTAGATCCCAGGGGAGGTGACTATTCACCAACAACTCACAGGCTATGTTGAGAAGCACACAGCTAAGGAGCAGGGCAGGGCATGGCAAGGTGCCTGGCAGGAGCAGGCAGACAGGGAGAGACATGCAGCGGGTAGGATGACTAGAGAGAAACACACAGAGCCTTGAGGAGCTGGGGTCAGCAATGCTGAGGATCCTACAGGTAGAGTAACTGTGGG